AGAAGAATCACCCAACCCTAAAAGATAAAATTTATTTCTAATTGAAATATTTTAAATCATTATTAATTTGTTTTATTTCATACAAATTTTTCAATTCAAATCACTTCTTTTATTGGCAAATATTCTAAAACGTTTCTTTTTTCTTTCTTTATTCTCTTTTCCGATCAGATATTTCTCAATTTGTCTCAAAAATAAATTATCTTTCAATAAAAATGCATCTTCAAAGTTTTCATTCTAAAACATACAATTTTCAAACACGTTTCTTTTCAAAACAAAAGATTTCTTCATTTCATTTTAATGAATTTTATACAAAAAAAAAGCAATGAAGGATTTTTTTTATAGAAATTGTTTTGATCTAAATCTCTTGTTTTCCTCCTTTTCTAGAACCAAAATTCAGCAAATGGAAACAAAATGCTATCACTGTGGCTGGTGGAAATGGAGAAGGAGAAGGATTAAATCAACTCAGTCACCCTTTTGGAATCTTTATTGATGAAAAGAAAAATATTTTCATTTCTGATCGTTTTAATCATCGTATTGTTGAATGGAAACATAATGCAAAAGAAGGAAAAATCATTACAGGTGGAAATGGACAAGGAAATCGAATGGATCAATTGAATTATCCAACAAATATGATTGTTTATCAACAAAATCATTCGGTCATCATTGCCGATTCTCAGAATAGACGAGTGATTCAATGGTTGAATCAGAAGCAACAAATTCTCATTGACAATATTGACTGTTATGGTTTGGCAATGGATAAACATGGATTTCTTTATGTTTCTGATGCTGGGAAGAATGAAGTGAGACGATGGAAAATAGGAGAATACAACAATGAAGGGATTGTAGTGGCAGGTGGAAATAGAAGAGGAGATTACCTTAATCTACTCAATTTTCCTACTTCTATCTTTGTTGATGAAGATCAATCTGTTTATATATCAGATCATGAGAATCGTCGTGTAATGAAATGGATAAAAGATGCCAAAGAAGGAACAATTGTGGCTGGAGGAAATGGCGGAGGAGATAATCTTAATCAATTGTATTATCCTCAAGGAGTAGTTGTTGATGATTTGGGTCAAATCTATGTGGCAGATTATGGAAATGATCGAATAATGCGTTGGTGTGAAGGAAAAGAAGAAGGTGAAGTTGTTGTTGGTGGAAATGGTCATGGAAATCAATCAAATCAATTGAATGGTCCCATAGATTTATCGTTTGATGATGAAGGAAATCTTTATGTTGCTGATATTGGAAATCAT